AAATCTCAAACCACACGTGAGATCCTGCCTCCAAAACTAAAAAGCATAACAGCAAAATAAAAAACAAGGACCCACATGAAAGGAGAGAACTGATTCGGACAACTTGTTTTCTGACCTTCACACAGGCAATGTAACAAGTACACTCCCCAACACACAAAAAAATGTAAAGTCATTTTATTATTCTGTTTGTATGAACGTTCGGCTTGCATGTATTATCTGTACACCACATGGATCCAGTGAGTGCTACTGGAGGCCAGAAGAGGGTATCAGATCCCCTGGGACTGAAATAACAGACAGTTGTAAGAGCCCTGTGGATGCTGAGGATCGAACCTGGGTTCTTTGAAAGAGCAGGCAGTGTTTGTTCCATTGAGCCATCCTTCCAACCCTCTAAAAGATTTAAAAAAAAAAATTAAAGCCAGGAATAGTGGTGCATGCTTTTAATCCCAGCACTCAGAAGGCATGGGGCCTCCTCAGTGAGTTCCAGGACAGTCCAAACTACATAAAGAGAGTGTATCTCAATAAAGAGAGAATGGGGGAGAAAGTAGAAAAAAGAAAGACACACACAGAGGAGAGGAGACTATTTAATCGGCTGATATACACATACATACATACATACATACATACATACATACATATATCATTTTTTAAAAATCATAACGAAGCTGGGTGGTAGTAGTCCATACCTTTAATCCCAGAACTCGGGAGGCAGAGGCACGCAGATCTCAGTAAAGTCAAGGCCAGCCTGGTCTACAGAGTCGGTTCCAGAACAGGCTCCAAAGCTACACAAAGAGACCCTGTCTCAAAAAAACAAAAACAAAATCATAACGATACTCAGTCTTCCACACTTAAGGAATTCCTCCAAAAAATTTCTTTTTTTATTTTTTGGTTTTTTTTTTTTCAAGACAGGGTTTGTCTGTTTAACAGCCCTGGGTGTTCTGGAGCTAGCTCTGTAGACCAGGCTGTCCTAGAACTCACAGAGATCAACCTGCCTCTGTCTCCCGAGTGCTGGGATTAAAGGCGTGTGCCACCACTGCCCAGCTGCAAAACAATTTTCAAAGAACGACAATCCCAAGAAAAAAATTGGTCAGAGGGCCGGACAATGGTGGCGCACGCCTTTAATCCCAGCACTTGGGAAGCAGAGACAGGCGGATCTCTGTGAGTTTGAGGCCAGCCTGGTCTACAACTAGTTCCAGGACAGGCTCCAAAGCCACAGAGAAACCCTGTCTCAAAAAAACAAACAAAAAAAAATGGTCAGAGGATATGATCAGGCAGGGTCCAGGTGTTACAAAGAGAGGGGGGGGGTCCCTAGTTTGTCCTGGCTGCCCGGCTAGCTTACACCCAAAATAACCACACAGAAACTATTTATTAAAACACTGCTTGGCCCATTAGCTCTAGTTTCTTATTGGCTAATTACATCTTAATTTAACCCATTTCTATTAAGCTGTGTATCGCCACGTAACTGTGGCTTACCGGCAAGATTCTAACCAGCATCTGTCTCAGGCAGGAGATCCATGGCATCTGTCACTCTGCCCTTCTTCCCAGCATTCTGTCTTCTCCGCCTACCTAAGTTCTGCCCTATCAGGCTCAAAGCAGTTTCTTTATTCATTAACCAATGAAAGCAACACATGAGCAGAAGAACCTCCTACAACATCCAGGTTTCCTTTCCAGGTGCTTTGATAAAACACCTAACAAAGGAAACTTTGAAAAGAGTAGGGTTTATCTGGCTTCCATTTACAGGTTACAGTCCATCATAGCAGTGAAGGCAAGGCAGCTGGAACTTGGAGGCAGTCATATCAACTATCAGAAGCAGAAAGAGAACGCACACTCACTACTGACATAACGTTTTAATGCCAGTACTCAGCTAGGGCTTTCTCTTTTTATAATACAGTTTGGTGTCCAAACCCAGGTAATAGTATCACCCAGAGTGGGCTAGGTTGTCCCACATCAATTAATGCCATCAAGACAATCCCCCAGACGTGCCCCAGGCCAACCTGATCCTAGATAATCCCTCCTTGATTCTCCCTTCCCAAGTGATCCTAGCCTGTGTGAAGGTAACAACACTACTCATCACAGCCCCCTTTCCAAAAGACAACCCCCCAGCACTAATCACACGCGACAGGTCGCTCCAATAGATGACCAGAAAAATCTAAGTTATGCAAACCACTTACTGGCTATTTGTCTGGAGAGCCTGTGTAAGCTAAAAAGTTCTCAGAAAGGCCAGCGAGATGGAGAATGGAAGAGGGGGCCTCCTTAGATAAAATAGAAGGGTTTCTTTTGGTGGGGGGAGTGACAGGATTTCACTATGTAGCTATGTCTGGCCTGGAACTTGCTGTGTAGACCAAGCAGATCTTAAACTCAGAAATCTGCTTGCCTCTGCCTTCCAAGTACTGGGTTTAAAGGTGTAGGCAATTACCAAACCTGACTTGACAATATTTCTATTTAAATGGTTGTCTCTAGGTTAACAAACTTTACTACACACATAAGCCTGTGCTGGAGCCCTCTTTGATTTTCAGCAGGCAAGCAACATCAACCAGACTCTAGAAGGATCCTTTGTTAGACTGATTTTATTCTTTTTTTTTTTCTTTTTTTGGTTTTTTGAGACAGGGTTTCTCTGTGGTTTTGGAGCCTGTCCTGGAACTAGCTCTGTAGACCAGGCTGGTCTCGAACTCACAGAGATCTGCCTGCCTCTACCTCCCGAGCTGATTTTATTCTTATGTATGTGTATGTGTAGGTATATACCTTGTGAGTGTAGATGACCTGAGGCCATAAAAGGCCATCAGATACCCCGGAGCTGAGTTACAGAAGGCTCTGAGTCTCCTGATGTGAGTGCTGGGAACCCAACTCAAGTCCCCTGGAAAAGCAGCAAATGCTCTTAACCAAACTCTGAGCCATCTCTCTAGCCCCTAAAAGGCCTCTTTTCTTACTCAAGTCCCCATACTTTTTGCTCCTGCCTCAGTGGCATGAGGATCAGGAGTTCAAGGTCTCAAAGAAAAATTAAGTCTGCCCACAGTTCAGCCATGTGAGATGAGTGCCTTAGCCAGCTTTCGGCAGAGCAGCTTTCCACTGCTGAGGGCAGTGGTTAATGCAGAACCCCATAACTGGTTAGGAATAAAGGATGGTGGCCTGTTTGGCCTTAAATGGGACACAGCTACATCACCTCCTCCAAGGCCCAGGAGAAATTAAGGAAGGAGAGGCAGAAAGAATGTGAGAGCCAGAGGATGTGGAGCTGTCGTTAACAAGATGACATCAAAAAGACGTCTCCTGAGCCTGGCGCATGCCTTTAATCCCAGCACTCGGGAGGCAGAGGCAGGCAGATCTCTATGAGTTCGAGGCCAGCCTGGTCTACAAGAACCAGTTCCAGGACAGCCAGAGCTGTTAACAGAGAAACCCTGTGTTGAAAAACCAAAAATAATAAATGTGTGTGTGTGTCTGTGTGTCTCCTAAGCATGAATGACATTGCAATTGCACTCATAGGTGAAGCTGTGGCTATAAAGTTGTGCACACGGCTGGCACAAGACTGGGCTCTTCAATAATTCATCATGAACGGGGGAAGGGCTCATAAGGTCCCATTCTTTCTTCTAGGTAATTGATGGTTTGGGTGGCCGAAGGTGTGGATTTCTTCAGTGGTACAGGCACTGATAAGCTGTCCTCGCTGCAGCAAATACTATTCCACCTGTGCCAAGGGAAGAAACTCTAGACTCTACATCTACTTTTGCCCCAAGGAACAAGGTGCCAGAGTGACTGAGGATGGTTCCACTGTCCACCTCTGGCCCTCACACGTTTTCATACGTGTGCTTCCACACGTGCAGAACAATGCACACACGTGCAGCACATGTGCACACACACAGACACATGTAAAGACAGGAAGTGTTGTTTACCACACATTTAACTGCTAATGAAGCCAGGGCTCAGAGGGACTCAGCAGCTTGCCTGCCGGGGCTTACAGAACTGGAGGGGTACAGCAGTTACCCAGCTTAAAACCTATGGCTGGCCCCACCATCACTAAGACGCTTTCTTGCTACCAACTCTGATTTTTGGGAAGGCAGAGGCAAGTGGGCCTCTGTGATTTCTAGGCCAGCCTGGTCTACACGGTGAGTTCCAGGCCAGCCAGTGAGACCATTAAAAAAAAAAATCCAACATCACCAAACAGCATCAAAACAATACTCTTAAAAAAAGGAGTCGCGCTGCCGGACGGTGGTGGTGCAGTCTTTTAATCCCAGCACTCGGGAAGCAGAGGCAGGCAACTCCCGTTCCGACTACAGGAGTGCGCAAACACCCCTGGAGCACTCAGATGTTTTACATTTTAAAAAAGTAACATTTTTGGGGGCTGGAGAGATGGCTCAGTGGTTATGAGCACTGCCTGCTCTTCCAAAGGTCCTGAGTTCAATTCCTGGCAACCACATGGCTCACAACCATTTGTAATGAGGTCTGGTGTCCTCTTCTGGCCTGCAGACATACACACAGACAGAATAAATATTTAAAAAAAAATAAAAAGTATCATTTTTGTAAACAAACAGAGGTAGGGACAGGGTAGGGAAAAGAAAGTAAAATCCCATCGCATCATCCCCTGCCTGAGGCGATCTCAACTTTCAAGATTTTTTTTTTTATCTTCCAACCTGGAGCTTCCAGAGCCATAAACGCAAACATCCAACAGCCACTCTAGCCCAATTCAGAGGACTAACTCGTTAGCCTGGGAGGTTCACCCCTCTATCTCCGAGTGGATTAACGAGCTCAATGCTTGGCCCGCTTCCGTTTAGGGGGCAGGCCCTCTTTCTCTATCCGGGTTCCCTCAGATAGTCCTGCCTTTGGGCAGTCTCTTGTGCCTCCAGTACCCCTATCGGCCCTCCCTCTCCTCCCGATATGCCCCTCGGAGGACTCTACTACTACTCGGATGCTCCACAGATCGCACTGGGAGCGAGGAGTTGTGGGCGGATTTTAGGGCCAGGACGAGTCACTTCCGGTCACAGACTCCCTCCTCCGGAAGTAAGATCTGATGTAAACAGCGGAACCGGGCACCAAAGCCCGGGAGGTCAGAAATTCGTGCCGCAGGCGGCACCAATAGCTAGGGTAGGGGTCGGGAAGGGGTGAAGATCAAGTCAGCAAAAGCAACGCGCAGCCGGAGCACGATCCAAGAGTTGGTCAGGGTCGCAGGGTGGGTGTTTCTACTAGAGGTCTTGACAGGTGGTGCATGGTTGGGGACTGGCGGCTAGAGTCGGTGCTGTCATGGAAAGAGAAAGGAACAAGACTTTTGAGAGAAGTTGAGGCGTTTCTATTAGGGTTCTTAGTTGGTGTGGGTATTTGGACGAGCGATCTAGAAGAGAGCCTTGGATGCTGCTGCTATTCAGAGTATGGCTCATGTAGAAGCAATACCCAGGAGTTACAGCGGAAGTAGGTTTAAAGTCTTAGAGGGTGGGTAGAAGGTGTGTCTGGACAGAGGTCTCCGAGTGATGGGGTTTGACAAAAGACAGAGAAGCAGGTCGAAGTTTTCCTAGGTAGATTTTTCCAGGTGGTGTGTACTGGGAGAAGGGTCTTTAGAGAGTATCTGTGCCCTAGGGCAGGGTCTTCGGGAGACAACGTGAGAACAAAAGGGACACATTTTAGGGGGAAGGGGGCTCATGAGTAGCATTGGGTCACCTCAGTTAGGAGTCATGGGTAGAGAGTACAAGGAATGACGCGTGTGTGTCAAGTGTGAAGAATTTAGAATGTCAAAGGAACGCCAGGTGGGGGCTTCAGGAAATAAGTCCAGGGCGTGGAGGGAGTTCCCAGGCTTGCCTAGGTGATCGGAATTAGCAGTGTGAGAGACGGGTTTGGGAAGTGTATTGCATGGAGGGTGTGAATGGGGTCCTGGGGGCAGTAAATGAGAGTTAGAAAAGCTCGAGGGGGGGAGTTCTGTGAGTGATGGACATTCATCGCAGTCTCATGGTCCCTGTCAGGTGGATCTGAGTGCGGGTGTGAGGATGGGAAGCGTGTGGGAAGAGAGGTGAGGTCATGTCAGGCATTAGAGCCAAGAACGGCTTGGAGGGAGAATGTATCATGGGCTATCCTCTACCCCATTACTTCCTGATAAGTTTGATAAGGGTTGGTGTTTATGGCAGTTGTAAGTCTTTGTCGGGCAAGATTCATTCTGCCTGTGGTCTTGGTTTGAACAGATACTCTGAGGTATACTCCGCTTGTTTTTTGTTTTTTGCAGTCTGGGGAGGAAGCCGGGCGTGATGGCACACGCCTGTAATCCCACCACTCAGGAGGTGGAGTCTGGAGGACTGCTGGGAATTAAAAGCCAGCCTGTGCTACCTAGGGAGTACCAGGACAGCCAGGGCTACGTAGCAAGACCCTATCTCAAAACAAAATAGATTCCTCGCCTCAAAAAAGTGGCGAGGAAGAAGAAGTCGTTCCGGGGACAGAAGTTGTAGGACTTAAGAGAGGACACTCGAGAACTCTTCGCAACGCTGTCATTTTTGTGCCTAGGGAAGCGGTCCTGCACCATGTCTCAGCCGCCACTTCGAGGTGTGACCAGTCTCCATTTCAACCAAGACCAAAGTAAGCTTGTGATTGTATCTTTTTGGGAAGGATGGGAAAGAAGGGTCAGAGATGGCTGTGCGCCCTACAAGTTTGAGGCAGACAGATTCCTTTCATCCGCAGGTTGCTTTTGCTGTGCCATGGAGACAGGTGTACGTATCTATAATGTGGAGCCACTGATGGAGAAGGGGCATCTGGGTGAGTGGCAGGAGAGGTGGGACAGTGGGCAGAAAGGCTGATATGGGCATTGGCATCTACCTCTACTGACACTCTGGTCCCTGTGCAGACCACGAGCAGGTAGGCAGCGTGGGCCTGGTAGAGATGCTGCACCGATCTAACCTGCTGGCCCTGGTAGGCGGTGGGAGCAGCCCCAAGTTCTCTGAGATCTCCGGTAAGTGCTTTCATCCCGTACTTGACCCAGATTCCCCAAATTCCTTACTTCCCACATATACCCTGAGGCTCGGGCAGATGACGTTGTCAGCACCTGAGTCCCGCAGTGAGGCACAGTTTGTAAGCTTGAAATGTTTGCTCTGTTATTTAGTGAGAGAAGGCCTCACTGTGTAGTTCTTTGTTGACAAGGCTGGTTTCAAATGCACAGACTGCGGAGATTAAAGGTGTGCTCTACACAGAACTTTAGTCTTTTTCTTTAGGAAACATTTCTTGGGCTGGAGGTGTAGCTCTGTGGTAGAACACTTGCCTGGTATACTCAAGGTCCTCAGTTCCATCTAAAACACTATAAAAACAGCAAGGTCACTGTTTTTTTTCCTTCTGTTTTTTTTTTTTTTTTTTTTTTTTTTTGTTTTTTTGAGACAGGGTTTCTCTGTAGCTTTGGAGCCTGTCCTGGAACTAGCTCTTGTTAAATCAGGCTGGTCTCGAACTCACAGAGATCCGCCTGCCTCTGCCTCCCGAGTGCTGGGATTAAAGGCTTACGCCACCACCGCCCAGACGCAAAGCCACTTGTCTGTCTCCTATTTGCCACTGTCTTACCAATGGAGCACTTACTGAGAGCCTAATCATTATTTTTTCCTTTGGTTATTTTTCAAGACAGGGTTTCTCTGTAGCTTTGGAGGTGGTTCTGGAACTAGCTCTGTAGGCCAGGCTGCCCTTGAACTCACAGAGATCCACAGAGTGCTGGGATTACAGGCGTCCAGCCTAGCCTAATCGTTATTTTAAGCACTTTACATACAAACATTAATTTGAAATAAGGTCAGCTGTAGCCAAGTATGACCTTGAATTGCTCTCCACCTCCCTAGTGCCAGGATTATAGGCTAACGCCTTCACACCTGGCTTTACATACATTAGCTCATTTAATTTTGTAGGCTTTTCATTCTTTTGGTTTTTAGAGATAGGTGCTCTATATAGCCCTGACTTTTTAGAACTCTATGTAGACCAGGATGGATTCAAACTCACAGAGATCTCCTGCCTCTGCCTGATGGGATTAAAGGTGTGCCCTACCATGCCCAACTAATTCTGTGTGGTACGAAATACCATTAGCCCTTCTCCCCATTTTTGTTGTGCGACTGATGGAACCCAGAGCTTTGCACGTTCTGGTACTAAGCCATACCCCCAGCCTCCTTAGCCCCATTTTTACTGATGAAGACCCTGAGGCCCACTTAAGATCACATAATTAGGGCTGGAGAGATGGCTCAGTGGTTAAGAGCGTTGCCTGTTCTTCCAAAGGTCCTGAGTTCAATTCCCAGCAACCACATGGTGGCTCACAGCCATCTGTAAGGAGGTCTGGCGCCCTCTTCTGGTCTTCGGGCATGCACACAGAATATTGTATACATAATAAATAAATAAATAAATAAATAAATAAATAAATAAATAAATAAATAAAAAAGATCACATAATTAATAGGTTTCCAAATCTTGGAATCATCTCTCCTATACCCTCTTGGCTTGACCCTCAAGCACCACCTTGTTTTAAGTTTTTTTTTTTCTTGTTGATCCATGACATGGCAAGAGGTATCATAGATGAGTCATAGAACCCTAGAAGTCATCACAAAATCTCCTGAGGATACGGACTGGATCCTGAAGACTGAAGTAGTTCCAGAGGAAAGTTGTGGGCCTAGGTCTGAATCCCTTAGCTGTTTCTTCCTGTGCTCTAAGGTCTTTGACCATACCCAGCTCATTTGAACTTTGACTTCCTTATCTCCAAATGAGCTTAACTGTTCTAGAATGTGTTTTCTTTGGAATCTTGTCCCAAAGTGTTCCTGCTCTGTGAGGCTCACATTGAAAATTTACTGAAAGGTGAAGCTCGGGGTTGCATGCCCAGGGGTAAGGCTGGGCCCCGCTTCACAGTCACCTCTTAGCCTAAACCTTGGTCTCACCAACCTACCCCTCTGCTTCTCAGTGCTCATCTGGGACGACGCCCAAGAAGGCAAGGACTCCAAGGACAAACTGGTGCTGGAGTTCACCTTTACCAAGCCAGTGCTGGCTGTGCGCATGCGCTATGACAAGTGAGCTTGGTGAAGACTGGGGTGGGGAGCCGGGCAGTGGTGGCGCACACCTTTAATCCCAGCACTTGGGAGGCAGAGGTAGGCAGATCTCTGTGAGTTCGAGACCAGCCTGGTCTACAGAGCTAGTTCCAGGACAGGCTCCAAAGCCACAGAGAAACCCTGTCTGAAAAAAAAAAAACAAAAAAAGACTGGGGTGGGGGGCAGGAGGTTCCCATAGCAAGTAAGAGGGTTCCCAACCCCACTCTGGCAGTTTCCCTTACCTCATGGCCTGCTGTGTGATGTCATCTGCAGGATTGTGATCGTGCTGAGGAACCGCATCTATGTGTACTCTTTCCCGGACAGTCCTCGAAAGCTATTTGAATTTGATACTCGGGACAACCCCAAGGGTGAGAGGACCCAGATATCAAGGTGTAAGGATATGGGGCCGTGGAATAGGCCAAAAGGAGGCAATGAAAGAAGAGACATATACTCAGATGCTGGGGGAGAGGCTTTATGCAAGAGATGCAGCCCTTTCAGTCCGACCATATCCTTACCCCTGGTCCTGCCCCCACGTGACAACATAAAGCACTCCGTGAGGACATGGGCAAGTATATCAGCAAGCCCTGGGCCTCTGATGATTTCCTGGCAACTTCTGAGAGAGCCTTTTCAGACCATGGAGAGTGGAGCTTAATGCAAGGATACCCGTGTGGGGTTGCTATGGGTGATAGATCACAGAGGGTTAAAATCTGGCCCTTACTGGTCCAGCTCTATCTATTCTGAGACTCAGCTCTCCCATGGCCTCCTCTTCACCTGCCCATCCCTTCTTCATCCTCACAACTTAGGTCTGTGCGACCTCTGCCCAAGCCTGGAGAAGCAACTGCTTGTGTTTCCTGGACACAAGTGTGGAAGTCTGCAACTTGTGGTGAGCAGTGGGCAAGGGCGGAGAGAGAGGTGGGTGGACTGTATTTCTTGGTGAACTTGTGATCCCTTTTCCTCCATGTCACCCCAAGCCCAAACTGTCCCCACCTCCAGGATCTGGCAAGCACCAAGCCTGGCACTTCCTCAGCTCCATTCACCATTAATGCACATCAGAGTGATGTGGCCTGTGTGTCCCTGAACCAGCCCGGCACTGTGGTGGCGTCGGCCTCCCAGAAGGGTACTCTAATTCGTCTGTTTGACACGCAGTCGAAGGAAAAACTGGTGGAGCTTCGAAGAGGCACGGACCCTGCCACCCTGTATTGGTGAGCACAGTGTTATATGTGTTGGGCTGGTGGCCTTACAGCACGAGCCCTCACAAGTCAGCATGTTGAGCATCATTGCCGGTCTGTCTTGCAGCATTAACTTCAGCCACGACTCCTCCTTCCTCTGTGCTTCCAGTGACAAGGGCACTGTCCATATCTTTGCTCTTAAAGACACCCGTCTCAACCGGCGCTCTGCGTGAGTATCTTGGCCCTATCCTGTGTTGTCCCAGTCCCCCTGGCCATGTGCCGTACCTAGACTTACCAAGTGCTGCCTGCAGGCTGGCTCGTGTGGGCAAGGTTGGGCCTATGATTGGGCAGTACGTGGATTCTCAGTGGAGCCTGGCCAGCTTTACCGTGCCTGCCGAGTCAGCATGCATCTGTGCCTTTGGTCGGAACACCTCCAAGAATGTCAACTCTGTAATTGGTGAGTGACAGTAGCCCCCTTGGCTTGGGGTACTACACAGGCAAAGGACGGCAGGTTGAACCTAAAAGAATGTAAGGATTTTCCGAAGCTGGAGGAAACTGGACTGTGGGCTCAGCCTCAGAATTAGTAAGGGAATGTGGCACTTGGGCAAAAGCCTGGCGTTAGCCCATGAGCCCTGGTGGGACATGAGGGAACGAAAGTGTATGGCTGGGGCGTCTCCTAACCTTTCATAACACCTCAACCTTCTAGCCATCTGCGTAGACGGGACCTTCCACAAATATGTCTTCACGCCTGATGGAAACTGCAACCGAGAGGCTTTTGACGTGTACCTTGACATCTGTGACGACGATGACTTTTAAAAGCCCTGGCAGCTACACTAGGAACCTGCAGTAGCAGTGGCCAATCTGAGTCTTGAGGGTGTTGAAGCAGCCAGCAAGCATCAAGGAGGCCTTCCACTCTCCACTCAAGCACAGCTGTATCTAAAGAAACAGCTCGCTTCCCCCAGCACTTTTTTTGTGAGTGTGCTGAAGGCCAAGGACAGATTGCCTGGGCCACCTAGTCTGGAAAACACAGGGACCCAAAGGGATTGTCGTAATCCAACCTGGGGATTTAAAAAAGGTTACCAGGAGAGATAGCCTCTGTGATGTATATCAATAAAAGGCTTTTAAATGGCATTTATGACTTGACCTCAAGGTGGGGGCATACTTTTCCAGGAGCTGTGTGACCTAGGCTCCTGACAGGAAGGAAGTGGAATCCAGCTTGGGACTTGACTTCCTATTCTTATTAGTCCGCTCAGCGTTGACTCACTCAACGCACAGCTTGCCCAGTCCGGCGTGGTGCCCCGCCCAGGGATGAAGAGAAGTTCGAGTTTTGAGCTTCTCCGCCGCGTGGCGAAGCTTGGTTTCCCAGCAGTCTCTGCTACCATAGTTGGTGATTTCTGGCCACGTTCATAGCTGCAGCTGCGCAGTAGCCTATGTTGCTAGTCATCGCCCACCTAGACTCTATTTCCCAATGTGCCTCGCGGTGCCGCGAGGGGTAACGGATGTTGTAGTCTAGCCGCCCTTCGGGCTGGTCCAGCAACCCGCAGGATGTCGGAGGTGCGGCTGCCACCGCTGCGCGCCCTAGACGACTTTGTTTTGGGGTCTGCGCGTCTGGCGGCTCCTGATCCAGGCGATCCACAACGATGGTGTCACCGCGTCATCAACAACCTCCTCTACTACCAAACCAATTACCTTCTCTGCTTTGGCATCAGTCTCGCTCTGGCCGGGTGAGGGAGAGAGGTGGTGATTGGCTGAAGATACTAGCGGGAAGTAGGGTGGACTTGCGGGCCTTTGAGAATAAGGAGAGGGGAACATAAGGGGAAATGCTAGGCTGGGAAGGGCGAATTCGGTAGGAAAGGAAGGTCTGAGGGGCATGATTGGAAGGATTTGAAGGAGGGAGGTCTTTGTTATGAGGAGGGGTGGGGGTGGGGGGGTTGAGGGAAGACCTGGGTAGGAAAAGGGGGGAGGGGAGAATGAAGAGGAATGTGGGCTAGGAGGTGGCCCCGGATTTAAAGAAGGCCTGATATGAAGGATGAGAGAGTACCGAAGAGGTTCAGTGATGTGAATGATGGGGCAGATTGGGGAGCCCTGGAGGGTTTAATACAGAGGTGGGGGGTGTAGTAAAGACGGTTTGGGAAGTGAATTTATAGAAAACCTACTCATATTGGGCCCAGAGTGACCATCCAGTGTTGCGAAGCTGGAAGCCAAAGAGGACAGTCTAGAAGAGAGCTTAAGACTGGGACTTAAACCAAGCATAGGTTCAAGCAACTGTGGGAGGGTGGCTCTATATAAAAATGAGGTAGTGGAGGACCTTTTGAATGAAATGACACCTGAAAGGTGCCCAGCCTTGCAAGGAGAAATATGTATTGACTGAAGGCCTTGGCGAGGGAGCTGCAAGGGTTAAGGTCATAGGGGAATGTGGGAGCGGACCTGGGAATGCTAGAAAGAAACTCTGCAGGTCTAAAAGCAAAGACCAGAGAAGGGCTGGGAACCCAGGACCTCTGGCAGTATGTGGGGGCCCTATAGGACTGTAGTACCGAGGAATCCAGAGTTCCAGGAACCCCTGGAGGCTGGACTTATTGGAGACAGGCCTGGTGAGACTATCTGTCGGGATGCCAATTCCAGAGACAGGAAACAAACTCTTGGGGTCCAGGATCGGGTGGACGGTGAGGCTAGCTGAGTGCCCTTGTTCCTGCAGGTACATTCGTCCACTGCACACCCTCCTGAGTGCACTGGTAGTGGTGGTGGCCCTCGGTGTGCTAGTGTGGGCTGCTGAAACCCGTGCAGCTGTGCGCCGCTGCCGTCGCAGTCACCCTGCTGCCTGCCTGGCTGCAGTGCTTGCCATAAGCCTCCTCATTCTCGGGGCCGTGGGCGGCGCTTTCACCTTCCTGCTCTGCATCACAACCCCGGTGCTTTGTGAGTCTCTACTCTCCCTGTCTTAGCTGGGAAAATGGACTGCTCATGCTTGAACACTAGGCCTGCCCCGCACTGGTTCCTGGTCTAAGAGGGGACTAGAAACCCTGAAGGATATACATGCCTCCATTAACTGGCTTCCCGAGCTCTCTTTATCACCTTTTTTTGGGTTTTCCCTTAAGTGCCTTAAACTGTCCAAGTCCTAATTTACTGGGATGTTCTTCCTGGCCACATCTCCCATAGCAGGCTAGCCTGCCTCTGCATTGTAGGCTGCAAGCTAAGGCCCCTGACCCTCTCTTGGTATTGCCCACAGTGATCCTGCTGCATGCTTCACTGCGCCTGAGAAACCTTAAAAACAAGATTGAGAACAAGATCGAGAGCATTGGTCTAAAGCGGACGCCAATGGGGCTGCTCCTAGAGGCACTGGGACAAGAGCAGGAAGCTGGATCCTAGGACGCTGGCATCTACATCCTGGATCTAGATGGCCCCCCACCCCATACCCAATATGGACCCTTTTCTCAGCCATTAAATAGGAGCCTAGAGCCCTCTGGCCTGCAAAAAAGAAAAGACACCTGTGACTGCTTACTCCAACCCTAAACTAGTCATCTCTTACCCCCGCCCCGCCCGTTACCTAGGGACTAAAGTCTTCAGTCCTGATTTTGAGACTCGGTAACCTACATCGAGCCTTGAAACTTTTTTTTTTTTTTTTTTTAAGCCAGAGCATCCATAGCCAATCTCAAAACTGGACCAAGAGATACTCCCCTAACCCCAGTCTGAGACTGGCCTTCCATACTTCAAAGCTAGGGCTTGGGGCAGGACATTCAACTCCTGAGCTCTAAACTAGGGATTTTTCAGACCCTTCCCCCATCTGGCTTGGAACCCAGGTTAAGACGTGGCCAAATCTTGAGCTTAAATCCCAAGTGTCCTCAGTCCTCACCCCATTGAACCCAGATGACCCTAACCCTCCCCAGACCCAATAGCTTCCCTCCAACTCTATGTAGAGGTTTTCTCCCTTCCCCACAATGTTCCTAGTATTGAGGACCAAGGTATGGGGCTAGCTAGCAATAGCCCCCGCTGGCAATGGAGCACATGTATTAGTGTTCCTGCAACAATAAAGCCGGTGAATCTCAAGCTTGTTTGGCCTCCTGTGTGAAGTTCTTGTACCTTTCAATGAACAACCCAGTGGCTGTCTTCAGTTCTGCTGGACCATACCTGACTGGGTTTAAATATTTGTGCTGAAAAGGTGACTTCTATGGCCCTCAAACCTGCTGCCTCTGAATTAGCATTAATTAAAACACAGGGACATAGAAATATGTACTATCATTTTGGATATTCTCTTATAAGTAGACCAGGAGATGGGGAGACAAAGAAGCTGCCCCATCTCATAAAGCAAGTGAAATCAACACATGTATGTTAGCTGGACATTGTGACGCCGGGAATTCCAGCAGTGAGGAGCAAGGGGACTGTGAGTTGTGGCCAGCCCTGGCTACATACAATCTAGCTCAAGAAGACAAAACACATGACACTATTGTAAGCTATTTCCAGTGTTTTTTCTCCCCATAAGAATATTTTTTTTTCCGAGACAGAGGTTTCTCTGTAGCTTTGGAGCCTGTCCTGGAACTAGCTCTTGTAGACCAGGCTGGTCTCGAACTCACAGAGATCCACCTGCCTCTGCCTCCCGAGTGCTGGGATTAAAGGTGTGCGCCACCATCGCCCGGCAAGATTATTTTGTTTTCTGACTGGCCGTGGTTGTACATGCCCTTTATGCCAGTATAGATGGATCTCTGAGTACAAGGCCAATGTGGTCTACAAGTGAGTTCCAGGCCAGCCAGGGCTACACAGTGGGTCCCTGTCCTGTCTAATAAATATATACATATAATCTGGTCTTAACTAGAGGTGTGGGTTCCTGTGATGAAGCAGACAAAGAAACAATCCAGCGGTTCAGTTTATACATTTATTATAGAAATCCCCTTCCAGTGTGAGTAGTGTCTTGGGCCCAGATCCATTGATACAAAAAGAAAATTTAACACCAGGTAAAGGGGGTAGGGGAACCCCCAGTTCCAGAAAGTCACACACAATATAGAAAACACAGCTTATGTGGATTTGTTTAAAAAGTGGTAAATAGAGGAATGTCAAGGAGGACATGATGTGGCCTGTGGCCCATGGCCAGATGTCACCTGAGGGTTTTGCTGGCATCGACCAGTTGCCAGGTTTAACCACTGCAGCATCCCAGGATGGGACATACTCAAATGGCTCTGCTTCGTGACAAACTCTTGTATAGCCTCCTGACCGGGGAAGGTCAGCACAGAGGCCGCGGGCAGAGACGGAGACAACAGTTCCTTCAGGCACCCCACTTAGACTTCTGTCCTTCCAAATGTGGACAGGAGCCATCTGTCCAAGAACTCTAGTGGGAGGAGGCAGGGAGTTCTCTTCATAGCGGTCTCTTAACCCCCGAGACTCTATATGGTCCATTTTGTTGAGGTGGGGTGGTGGCTCCTGAATGGAACAGGCTGGGCATAGGGACAGGAATGAACCCAACCAGGACTGAGCTCACAGCTTCCCTTTTATAAAATACCTAGTGTTGGGCAAAGACAGTGAATACTAAATCACAACTGTAAACAGAAATGGAGGAAGGGGCAGAGTCCCCAAACCATCATCCCCCTCTTTGAAGCTAGCTGGGGCCCTCCAGTCTCCCAGCACAGGATGAGAAGAGATGCAGGAGTATTGGACATCCTTCTGGGCCCCAAAGAAGCCAGGGGTCCTGTGAGATCAAGCAGTTGTCCCTCAGAACCAAGAGCAACCACATCCCAGGGCTCAGCGAGGTTGACTGTATGTTCCCCAGACTGGACTATGTCCAGACCAACAAGAGACTTATCAGGAAGGGTCAGACCAATGTCCCTGGGGTCTGGGGATCAGAACTGGAAGACTGTTCCCCCTCTAGCGTCAGGTCACTTAAACGAGTGCTCAGCTCCGGGGGATACAGGAAGTCCGTGTAGTATCTTTAGAAAGGACAGCAGGAATCCGGAAGACAGGGAAGAGAAGAGAAGAAGAGACAGACAAGACACACACACACAGAGAGGAAAAGAGGCTTGTTAAAGAGGTGGATACAGGCGCAGGACAGCACCTTCAGGCTCTTAAGCATGGGGTATGGAGCTTAGAAGAGAAAGCCATGGAGCACGTATATCCCTTCTTCCCAGCACCCTGACTTCAAGGCTCACTGC